ATTATTTTAAAATTGTTGTTGCTGATTAGTTTTTATATATTAAATAACATTGTTTGTTTTCCAAAATGGTTTGTTGAAATTATTTTTATTTATGGTGCACAAAATCGTTGTGCTCTACGAACTGCAGTGGCATTAAATGAACCACACCCTGACAAAAAGGTGCGTCACAAATATGTTCAAGAGCTGGTTGCAAGATTTGAACAAATGCAATCGAAGAATAAACCAACCTAGAATAATCAATGAAGCCACCCATATTAAGGTTTTTTGTTAGTTTGGTGTAGATCCTACAATATCACTCCGTTCGGCATCTAGGGCTTTGCCCTGAGTCTGTTAGGAAGGTTTTGAAACACCACAAATTCCACCCATTTAAAATGCACATTACACAAGAACTTGATGCAGACAGGCGTTTAGAATTTTGTGAAATCATGACCAATAAAATACCAATCAGATCCACATACACATTAAAAAATTTTGCCCGTGTAAATTTTTTAGTGTAGGGGTAAAAATATTAGAGTTGATTTGTAAGTGTAAAAGTTACACTACAAAATACACTAGGTAGCATTTAGTGCTTATTAATTTTATTAAACACGTTTAAAGAATATGAACATTATCCATTGGTACATCACACTATTTATTATTAAAATAAATCAAAAGGGTAGAAAAACTTAATGCGAGTGTTTATTACCCCTTAATGTGTTAAATAGTGACAAAATGTACACTACAGTGCATGTCAATTTCTTTGTTTGTTTTGATGTTACTAAGAGCTCTTTTTTCTTTACACTACTAGTGCACATTGTATCACAATTAAAGTTAAATTACACCAATAGTGTCAAATTAGACTGAAAAAACTGGTAATAACTGAAATGCGGTTTAAAATGTTTGATTGGGAAACCGCATTGTGGAAGTGTGGCATTGTTGTTCAGTTAGATTTTAATTACGGTGAATCCATAAGAGGACATTCTTATTTTTTGGTATTATACTTCCTTTTTCTTTAAGCCTTAATACTCAATAAATACCAATATGTTAAAAGGATGTCCATACCCGACCTATATTATATATCAATAATTTACGGCAGTAGGTCGGGTTCTTGTAACATTAATATTATAAATACATACACACTTGATTTACTTTTTATTTTTAAGCGTAATGGTTGTTATATTAACCTATACCTACATTTTTATTAATATTATGTAAAATTTGTACACGTGTGGTAAATCCCCGACATACAGCCGCCTGACGCCTCTCTACCAATGGGATCACCCATTTTTTATAACAAAAATTAATTACTGATGAATTCTCAAGATAATTCATTGCTTACAACTTACAGAAACGTAAAAGTTTTACGGAACCATTTTGCTTAAGCCAGCCATACGACTCAAATATAAAATTATATTTTAAAAGGCAACGATTTTGATAATTGTCATAGATTTTTGTTCCAAATAAATGTTTCTCTTTATTTACCTTTTCGTTTTATTCACTACCACCAATATGTTTTACTGAAATAATAGTGTTAATTTACACTAGAAGTTTGCACCAAAATAGTAAAAGTACCTTTCTAAAATTAGAACTTTTCCAAACTAGTGTTAATTTACACTGAACAAAAGTGGGATTTTACCCAGTGTAGAAGTACACGATTTTAGGTAAATTAACACTTTTTAATACAGTGTAAAATTACTTTATCCTCAGTGCTATAGTGTTAAATCATACTTGCTTACTTGGGGAAAATTACACTACAAATTAACTCTAATTGTAGTGTTATAAAATAACACTATTAGTGTGGACCTGTGTGAACTCTAATTAGTGTTGCTTAGAGTTGATTTTTTTTTACTGTGTACTCAAAAACATTTACTTTAGCGACTTTTCATCTAAATGGAAATGTCAACAAACAAAATTGTCGTTATTGGAGCAATGAAAATTCTCATCTCATCAGAGAAAATCATACCCAGTATCCTGAAAAACTTAATGTATGGGCAGGAATTTTGGGAGATTGTATTGTTGGTCCCTTATTTGTTGACCAAAATTTGAATGTTCAAACGTATTTTGAAATGTAGATAAAACAACACATCCACTAATAACACTATGTAACATAATAATTGTTTATCTGGATTTTATTACACAAATCGTAGTAGGCCATGCCCCCGATTACGTAACATACATTTGTTTTTTTCAAACTGTCAAATTTTCAACGACAGCCGTCAGATCATGTTGAGGGCTTTAAGTGTCATTAGGGGACATCCATTAATTACGTGAGGCATTTTTTCTGTCTAATTTAGACCCCTCCCTCCCCCTTGCCGAAACTAGGTTGCAATAAGTCATTATTGAAAATGTATATTTTGCCACTATTGTATTATTAAAAACATATTCAAACTTGTTAAAACATAATTTCTTTTTGAAAATACTCTACGAAGACTTTTTTATAAATGGCCAATGTCAGATCTTTAAAAGAAAGTCTATTTTTAATGCAATCGTTTTAATTAAAACTACGATTTTTGCGAATTTTTTTATAGCTTAGAGGGCCGTGAAAAGCAAAAGTCGCCTTAAACATTTCATAACTGACATTAGACCTGTCACTTAGTTGTGTTGGGCACATAAAATTATAGAAAATTCGTGTTTTTTTTTTGTTTTTGGCAAGAACTGATAAGGTAATTACCATGGATATTTAATTTTTTAAGTTTTGCAGAGTAAAAAAATAGGAAGGCCAACGAATGCCAAGCCAAAATATATATTTTTTATTAGACAAAGATGTAGACTACTAAAAACTGTTAACCAAAAAAATCGCAAAAAATCGCGAAACTTATCCCAGTCAAAAATGTAAACCTCTGAGAAAAGAAAATATTAACAATTAATATGCATCTAATATGCATCAGTTGTTTATGGAATGTATTGGTTGGGCAATGAGAAAATTATATACATGGCGTTTAATATTTGTTAAAAGTGTTTACGCCTACTTAATGTTTTTATCCGTTTTTAATATTACATCAAGGTGGTCTAGATGCATTTTTAAAAATTGCTCAAAAGGCTTAAAAAATCACATTCAAGTCCAGAATTATGTTAAGAATCCGAGAATGTAAATATATACAGGGGTTTCTATTTAATGTTTTGAACCTGGAGCCATTTCCGGTGAAACCGGAAGTGACCGAAAAAATATGCGAAAACCCTCCTCTTTATACACCATTTACCTATTACCAACACTCTGTATTTAACTTTTTATCTGCTAAACGAAGTCAAATTGACCTATATTCAGAAAAGGAATCTCTAGATTTATAATATTCAATAATTTTCGGGATAAAACATAGTAACTATCGCGATATATCGATAGTAGGTATGCACACATTACAAAATAATTTTTTTCTGGCTAAACCGCTCATCCAACTTTTACAAGAGACAAAAAAGTTTTTAAACAAAGTGAGCTTTCTATATGCTATCAAATTGGTAACCATTTCATCAACAGGAAAAAAATACAAGCGAAAATTAGTACCTTACCTTGCTTATCAGAAAATTCAGAAAATCTAATTTTTAAAGATAACTAGCACCAAACGAATTGGCAGTTAAAACTTATACTCCAAAAATATTCATTAATACGTTTTAAGATATTTAAAAAAATAGTTATTTTTTAAAACTTTAAAGGCCTCTAACGACTAAACAAAGCAACTTAGTATATAGGTAATTTGGGTTAAATCGACTTATTTTGATCGGTAGATGTTGGCATGGTTTAGTACACTAGTTGAATGTGGCAACACTGGAAAATGAAAAAATAAATTATATAATTAATTACCAGCATTGGTTAGTCTCAAAGTTTAATTATTTTAAGTTTTAAGTAAATAGAAAAAAATTGAATTAATGCAACCTAGTTTGAACATTGGGCCCACAGTGCCTTGGTGAGATTTGGTGAGATGTGGTAGACCCCCCTATCCCTCACGTAAGATTTTGGTCATTAAACTTTCTTTGTGGACAACATGTAAAAAAAAAATAATAATTTTTTTTTACAAAATTTGATTATACATATTTTTTAAACTCAAAAGTTAACGTGAGATTTTAAATGAAAGGTTTCCTTGGTAACCACAAAAGAGAAAATTATACTGACCTTGTCATAGTTTTATTAGGAAGTTTTAAAGAAATGGGATGCCGCATGTCGTTGAAAGTACCTACCTACACTATTTGCATTCGCATCTTGACTTTTTCCTTGAAAATCTGGGAGATGTCAGCGAAGAACATGGAGAAAGATTCCATCAAGATATTCGGGCAAGGAAAGTGGGATGCGACAATGATGGGTGACTATTTGGAATCTACTTCGGGAAGAAAATGCATCACATAAAAGTAAAAGTATTAAAATTCATTTTTGAGCCAAAATTTAAAATCTTTGTTAAGAAAATATTTTTCTAGATTGTATGTTTTGTTAAAGTTGAATTTCTTGCCATTTCTTGTCAATTTTTTTTTTGTTTTTGATAAAACTGGGTTTGATTATATTATATAAATACCCCTTAAAAAAATAAAAACTTATTACTAAATTTTTTAAATTAAGTTAGAATAGTTTTTTGGCACACAAATATTGATAATTTAACAAAAAAATCCAATAAACAAAACAAAAATCAAATTTTGTTACATAGTGTAATACATGAACCAGAAAATCAATGATGATGAACCAGCTTTGGATGAAAATTTATTACATTTTCAACAAGATGGGGCACCAACTCATTATGTAGTAGCTGATGACCAATTTTTTAAATAATGTTTTTACGGTTTAATTTGATATTTAATGGTTTAATTTGACACCCTGTAAATACACCTAATGTTAATAACTAAATTTATTTTAAAACAAAAATCAACATAATTGCCCATAATCTTAATTATTTAATTGATAAATAAATATCCAAAATAAAAACAGGTTTAAAATTAAACCATAATCCCGTTTATTATTGTTAATTATTCTAAGAAACACACTTTTAACAATTAAATATTATATAAGATATGTTAAACTAATTTTAGGGTTTAGAACATTACTAAGTTTTACGCTTATCGTTCCAAGATTGTACAAATTTAAAATTAATGGATTTTTTCTTAGTACAAGAATATAGTTAAACAAATATGTAATATAACGGGAAATATAAAAAATTGCCCTAAAACTTTCAAGTTTATCATTTTGTTATTTGATGGCGAAACTTTGTATTAATAATCGCTAGGAGCCAAATCCGGGCTGTAAAGTGGACGAAGCTGCGATCAAACTCATATCTGTGTAACTTTTTAGGTATTTTAAGGCATTCGCGAAATATTTAAAGATTATTAAACAAAAATTTAACTTATGCAGTCAGTTATTCCCTTTATCTTAAATTAGGTTAAATCGCATTATTTTGATAAAAGTAATATGTGTTATCATTTTGTATAGGCATTTCAGGGACACATTCTATGGATACTTCTACATAATATGTATATTATACTTATCCCAATTAAGAAGTTATAAATCAGTTACATTCATTTATTATACATTCTCACTTAAAATAAATAATTTATACAATAAATCAGTCTTCCTTTCTACTTAAGCCAGCTCAATTTTCTCCTTCTTCACACCTTTAAGATAATCCTGAATTTGTTCCAGAGTCATACCCTTTGTTTCGGGCACAAAATATATAACGAATAACCCTCCCAAAATGCTGACAATCGTGAAAGTCGTAAAAGAAACATAGATTCCAAAATTGTCTTTGGTGAACTGGAAAAACATTGAAACTAAGATGATTAAAGCACTTGTGAAAATATCTGCACTGCAAATAGCCACTGCCTTGACTCTAGCATTAAACATTTCACTTAGTGTAAGCATAGGCGTTGAGGCTAAACCCACATTGTAGATAACAATGTAGAAAAACATTGCACTGATCGGGATATATCTTATATTCGAACCACTCAAGTCGAGATCCTTCGACCAAAAGAAGTAACTCGCTAGAGTGATGGTAGCCAAGGCTGTTCCACCAAAAGAGTACAACAGAAGCGGTTTTCTTCCTGTGGAGTCTATAACGATGGACACTAAAGAGCACATGATAAATTGTAAGCCGAAATAAATTATGGATATGGTGCTAGGTTCCATTGGTACGTCCAATTCGACGAAAATTTCCTGTATGTAGAAGTTCAAAGCTGTTATACCGGTGAACTGTTGAAATAACCTTAAACCAAATGATATGTATATGGCTTTGCGATTTGATGGTTCCGTAAAAATTTCCCATCTATTAGGTTTCTCGTTCTTCTTTTCATTTATGGCACTTGTTATGTCTTTCAGGGTATGTGATATGTCTTCGCCGTTGTTTAGAGTCTTCAAGCTTGCCTCTGCTTCGTCCACTTTTCCTCTCATGACCAAATAGTAGGGACTTTCAGGCATAAAAGAAAATGTTAGGATTTGTATCAAAGGAATACTTGCTGCGATATACGTAGCCATCCTCAAACTGACCAGGGAGCCCAGGATGTTAAACATCAACGATCCAAAAACAAAGAAAACTTGAAATAAAGTCCCGGATAGTCCTCTTACACTTGGATGCGTTATTTCGCCCAAATACATCGGCAACGCTGTATATATTATACCATCAGCCACCCCAGCGAAAAATCTGCACGCGTATACGACCGAAAGCGAATTAATTTTCGCCATCAGAATCCAGCCGATAAAAAATATAGGCGCCGATGATAATATGCATAGTTTTCTTCCGATTCTGTCGACGATGAACGCTGCCAACGGGGCCCCTACAACGTTTCCATATTCTTGGATCGTTGATATCATGGCTCCTTCTTCGTCGCTTATTTTTATGGAAGAATCGGGGGATAAAAGTATTGGTAGGGCTGGTGAGGGCCAGCCGTAGTGCATTCCTGTCGATATGATACACAGACATCCTAAAAATTTTATATTAAACAAAGACACGAAGAATATATGGTAAAGGTACCTGTAAAACTAGCCAAATATTGATACAAAAACTTATTCTTTGTTATTATTTTGAAGACCATTATTAACGTGTGGGTACGTTATATGAATATGTATTTCTAATTTAACTATAGATTATAAATTATTTACATTTTTATGTCATAAAATTCCAAAAATTTGTAATTAGGAATACACATATAACTTTTGAACTCATATCTATGGTAATTATAATTGGGCAACATATTCTAGATTAATGTATACCGGACTTTTATGCACAAAAATTAAAAAGGCAAACTTGGTACAAGTCTTTTCTATTAATTTTTAAAGCAAAAGTTGCCCTTCAAGACATATAATTTTTGTGTAAAATTTAAATAACATGTGGCGTCATCTTCAGGTTCATTCAGCAAAACTTAAATAATTAATAAAAAGAAATATAAAATATTTTTTTATTTATTTTTATGCCTATAAATAAAAACAGTTCCTTTTTAGTTTGAGAGGTAGTTCAAAAATATATACATGGTGATTCACCTAAATGATTCATTGGAGATATATAGAGAACTAAAAGAGACATTAGTATTTTTCTAAAATGCACTGTCACTTTTGGTTACCCTGGCGAAAATGAAATGTGCAAAAAGTGTGCAAAATTATTTGAGAACAATGTGCAATCTTTTAAAAAAATGATGTGCGGAGGGTGGGAAATGGAACATGAAACAATGTGCAAAACCAAAAATTTAAAAGTGTGAATAATCACTGGACAATGTTCTAAAGGGAACTCCTTTTGATTTTTCACATTGTTTGCACACTGTTTCTTGCCACCTGTGTGCCTATTACAAAAACAGATTCTTTTTGGTGACCTATAAAGTCTTCAATCAAATAAATATTTTTTTCAAAAAAATTAAAAAAAAATACCCACAATGTAGGTCCTACATACTGTATTTAATACCTGCACTGTGACCTCCACGAAGGGGATTACTTTGATCTTAGCAATAGGCCGAGAAGCGATACATAAGATGGAATCTACCTCACCTTTTAAATAAATGTTGTACCCAAACTCAAGCGAGATATATCTAAAATGTGCCTAAACTGTTGAGTGATCGCTAAAACTATACAAACAATGTGCTATAAAAAGGTGTAATATAAGCGTCATAAATGAGAAATATTAAAGCGTGCTAACAGTGTGTATAAAATGTGACATGCGTAAGATAGACTAAAGCTTTGCAAAATGTCTTTAAACAATATACTAACACTGTGCAAACAATGTGCTAAAATATAATGTAATATAAGCGTGACATATGACAAATAAAAACTACATAAAGTGAAAAAACTTAATTATTTCAAAAAGTGTGAAATTACCTAAAAGTAGCGTGTATGCACATTGCTATAAAGACTTGCACTCCAAATATACACTTATTGCACACTTTTCATGCACGCTTTATTTTCGCCAGGGTAAACATGCAACATATCAATAGCATTGAGTAAGATGAAGAACATCTTACTCAATGTCAATAGAGAGTAATAATCCGCGTCGAATAGTGTGGTGGTTCCGTTTGAAATAAGAAAATCATTTCATCAAGAGCTGGCTGCAAAATTTGAACAAAGGGATCTGTTTGCAATAGAAAAATAAACCAACCTACGATACTCAATGAAGCTACCCATATTGAGGTTCTTGGTCAGTTTGGTGTAGATCCCACAATGTCACTCCGTTTGGCATCTAGATTAACAGAGTTTGCCCTGAGTCTTTTAGGAAGGTGTTAAAACAAACAAATTCCATCCATTCTAAGAACTTGGCGATGATGATGCAGACATGCGTTTAGAATGTTGTGAACCACTAAAATAACAAATCAGATCCAAATACTTAAAAACATTTACTTCACCGATAAATGTATTTTTTATCTACATGGGAATGTTAACAAACAAAATTGTCTTTATTGGAGCAATGAAAATACTCATCTCATCAGAGAAAATCATACCCTTAATGTCTGGGCAGGAATTTTAAAATTGTATTATTGGCCTTTTATTTATTGACCAAAATTTGAATTGTCAAATTAATTTTGAAATGTTACATGAAACATGCACTAATAATTATTAGTGGCTGCATTGTTTCATGTAACATTTATAATAAATGAACTAGAAAATCAAAGAGGAAAGGAAAGGGCTTGGCTGGATCAGAATAATCCAGAACGGTGGATTGGTACAAGAGGACCAATAGAATGACTTTTTTTTGGGTCATATTAATGGTTTAATTTAACACCTTGTATATATATGCACAGGGTGATCCCCTATAATGTCGCCCCCCTTTAACTTATTTATTTTAAGTGTCCCAAAAATTTTAAAAGTGTGGTTATGTAGGTACTAAAAAATACTTTTTTCTACGTATAAAGAAAATTGGAAAATTGATCAGTATACAGGGAAAAACAAAAAGTTATTTTTTTTTCAATGGGTCACCCTATATATGTATTTATTTTATGATTCCTTGTAAAATTCTAAGCATATTTCATATAACATACCGTTTCTGAAATATTTAAATTATTTTTAAGATAAAGATAAAGTTGAAATAGTTTGTCTTTCTCTGTCTGAGTACGCCATTTTTCCTTATTTAACAAGACATTTGACATAATGTCACTATAGTAATTTATTTTCAATACAAATTTTGGTACAATGAGGCTTCTTGATTTCTAACAGTTTAAAAAAACATTTAAAGATAACATTTCGGATGCGAATATTTCAGAAACGGTTGAATTTAGTTAAATGGTTTGTTATATGAATTATACTTAGAATCTTACAAGGAATCGATAATTCATATATAGGGTGATCCATTGAAAAAAAATAAACTTTTTGTTTTTCCCTGTATATTGATCAATTTTCCCTGTATATTGATCAATTTTCCCAAAAAAAATTTTTGCCACCTACAAAACCACATTTTTAAATTTTTTGGGAAACTGTTATATATAGGAGATCACCCTGTACTTAATGTTAATTACTAAACTTATTTTAAAACAAAAATTGACATAATTGCATATAATCTTAATTATTAAATTGATAAATAAATATCCAAAATAAACACAGGTTAAAAATAAACCATTTAAAATTAAAAATCCCGATTATTATTGGTAATTATTCTAAAAAACACTCTTTTAACAATTGAATATTATTAAAGATATGTTGTGTTACACAACTTGTGTATCTAAAAAATTTTAAACTTATTGTAGGGTTTAGAACATTACCAAGCTTCGCGCTTATCGTTTCAAGATTGCACAAATTTTAAATTAATTGATTTTTTTGTTACTACAAGAATACAGTTAAACAAATATGTAATATAACAGGAAATATAAAAAAAACGCTCTGAAACGTCCTAAATGTCCAACTTTATCATTTTGTTATTTAATAGAAAAATTTTGTATTAATAATTATAATCGCTAGGAGCCAAATGCGGGCTGTAAATTAAACGAACAAGCGATCAAACTCATATGTCTAAGACAGATTAATAAAAATCTATATATATCTATACAGTATGTCTCAGTATCTTGGAATCATATGGAAAACTTTTTTATTATTAATTTTAGGAAAAAAAGTTATTCTTCATAAAAAGTTCTGCATGGTGTAAAACTTAAAATGCAACCCACAAATGTTAATTTCTTTTAGTCGTATACGGGGTATGTCAAAAAATATGAATTTGGCTCAAGAGTAAAGTACCTTTATATTTGACAATATCGAAAATTGTTATAAAGAAAAGTTAATCAGAACTAAAAACTACGTTCAAATATGCAATTACATCCATTTACATTAAAAAAAATATTTTTTCTTTTTTGTCTACAATATCAATGCAAATTTAACTGTAACATGTAATCTAGGATGCACTGATAAACAAATGATTTGTTGATATTCTAATACTTTTTGGCCTGCTAGATCCCCTGACTTAACTTAAGGTTTTCATGTTTTTTCTAATCATAACAGATAAATGTTCATTTAAAATAGAAAGATTAGTAAAAATTAACAAAACCTAATTTTTTAATGTAAGTGTATGAAATTGCATATTTAAACGTAGTTTTTAGTTCTGATTAACTTTTCTTTATAACAATTTTCGATATTGTCAAATATAAAGGTACTTTACTCTTGCGCCAAATTAATATTTTTTGACATACCCCGTATACGACTAAAAAAAATTAATATTTGTGGGTTGCATTTTAAGTTTTACACCATGCAGAACTTTTTATGAGGAATAACTTTTTTTCCTAAAATTAATAATAAAAAAGTTTTCCATATGATTCCAAGATACTGAGACATACTGTATATATATATATATATATATATATTAGGGTGGCCCAAAAAAAAAGAATATTTTTTTTCTTCTCGTCTCTTGTGAAAATATGTTGGTTTGTCATGTTTTAAGAGCCCTGTCAAAAGATCAGCACCATTAAACAATTTTTAGGGGTCGCTCAAGATTTTTAAAAATTACCAAAATCGTCAAAAATTGGATTTTTTTTTATTTTAATTTTTTTTCTCGTTCCGATATTATTTTTTAATTTAAAAATAATAATGATTCTGAAAATTTCAAATCGATATTTTAATTTCTAAAGGTCGCTCAAGATTTTTTTAACTTTCAAAGTAGAGTATTTTGAATGTTTTCGAGCGACCTCTGAATATAAATATCAACGAACTTTTAGCGACCTTTAGAAATCAAAATATTGATTTGAAATTTACAGAATTTTTATTATTTTCAACCTAAAAAATAATATCGAGACGAGAAAAAGAATTAAAATAAAACAAAAATTCAATTTTTGACGATTTTGGTAATTTTCAAAAATCTTGAGCGACCCCTAAAAATTTTTTAATGGTGCTGATCTTTTGACAGGGCTCTTAAAACATGAAAAACCAACATATTTTCACAAGAGACGAGAAGAAAAAAAATATTCTTTTTTTTTGGGCCACCCTAATATATATATATATATATATATACAGTATGTCTCAGTATCTTGGAATCATATGGAAAACTTTTTTATTATTAATTTTAGGAAAAAAAGTTATTCTTCATAAAAAGTTCTGCATGGTGTAAAACTTAAACTTAAAAATATTCTTTTTTTTTGGGCCACCCTAATATATATATATATATATATATATATATATATATATCTTATATGCTAACCACTCAAGTCGAGATTCTTCGACCAAAAGAAGTAACTCGTTAGAGTGATGCTAGCCAATGCTGCTCCACCAAGAGTACAACAATAGCGGTTTTCTTCCTGTGGAGTCTATAATGATGGACCCCAAACAGCACATGATAAATTGCAAGCCGAAATAAATGATGGATATGGTGCTAGGTTTCATTGGTACGTCCAATTCGGTGTGTTGTAGTAGTACCTACTAATATTTATATTTTACCAAATTTCTTTATAATTATATGATTTCGAATGGTGTGTTATTTAATTGTGAGTATATTTTTTTGTGTTCATTTATGTAGGTATGTGTTAATTTTTGTTTGGGAAATTAATTAATAAAGCACATTTCCTATCAAAATTCTTTTCATTTAAGTTCTCAATGTTCAACAAATACTTTTGTTACTGGACCTACAAAAAAAATTGTAAAAATAGGATCCTTTTTGAAAATTACAATTTTTATTGATATAGGATTTTGCTATTAAATCTACAAATTGTTTGTTATAATTACAAACTATAGTATACTTATTCTATTAGTTAACAGTTTACAGTTGGTTGTAAACTTTACAAAAAAGTTATCTGGACTTGGATTAAAATAAAATCTGGTTAATATTTTGTTAAAATTAACAAATATTTTTTTAAATAAATATATTTTTATTTTTAAACTCATATCTGTGTAAGACAGATAATTATCATAACTTTTTAGATATATTAAGGCATTCGCGAGATTTTTAAAGATTATTAAAAAAAATTTAACTTTTGGAGTCAGTTGTCCCCTTAATCTTAAATTAGGTTAAATTGCATTATTTTGATATAAGGAATATGTGGTATCACTTTGTACAGGCATTTCAGGGACAGTTTGTATAGATACTTCTTCATACGTAATGCCGATGAGTCATCGCCGGTGAGTCAGCGCTCGAACAATCGAGAGTGGTGTGGAGCTCGCTGGAATGTACGAGAAGGAACGGCGCAGCATGGAGCAGTCAGTCAAGCTTTGGTACTCGCGACGAAATAAATAAATTTACGTGCAAATAAATAGACCCTTAAACAGTAGTGATATATAAATAATAAGGAGTTAAGTGTTTAGTTAGTTTTATAGTTTCTTTGTGTTTTAAGTGTAATTAAGTTATAAAATAAATCGTTTAGTTAGTTAATTAACCAGTGCGTGTTTTAATTCACACTACGAACAGTAAAAACGTATATTATACTTAGCCCAATTAAAAAATTATAAATCAATTACATTAATTTATTTTACATTCTCACTTAAAATAAAAAATTACTTAAAAAAAATCAGTCTGTCTTTCCACTTAAGCCTGTTCAATGTTCTCCTTCTTCGCACCTTTAAGATAATCCTGAATTTGTTCCAGAGTCATACCCTTTGTTTCGGGCAAAATAAATATAACGAATAACCCTCCCAAAATGCTGACAATCGAGAAAGTCGTAAAGGAAACATAGATGCCACAATTGTCTTTGGTGTACTGAAAAAACATGGAAACTGAGATGATTAAAGCACTTAAGAAAATATCTGCACTGCAAATAGACACTGCCTTGACTCTAGAATTGAACATTTCACTTAGTAGAAGCATGGGTGTTGAGGCTAATCCCACATCGTAAATAAAAATGTAGAAAAATATTGCACTGATCGGGATATATCTTATATTCCAACCACTCAAGTCGAGATCCTTTGACCAAAAGAAGTAACAAGCTAGAGTGGTGCTAGCCAAAGCTGTTCCACCAAAAGAGTACAACAGAAGCGGTTTCCTTCCTGTAGAGTCTATAATGATGGACACCAAAATGCACATGATAAATTGCAAGCCGAAATAAATGATGGATATGGTGCTGGGTTTCATTGGTACATCCAATTCGACGAAGATTTGCTGTATGTAGGAGTTTAAAGCTGTTATACCGGTAAACTGTTGAAAGAACCTTAAACCAAATGTTATGTATATGGCTTTGCGATTTGATGGTTCCGTTAAAATTTCCCATCTGCTAGGTTTCTTGTTCTTTTTTTCATTTATAGCACTTGTTATGTCTCTCAGAGTATTGGATATGTCTTCGCCGTTGTTTAGAGTCTTCAAGCTTGCCTCTGCTTCATCCACTTTTCCTCTCATGACCAAATAGTAGGGACTTTCAGGCATGAAAGAAAAAGTTAGGATTTGTACCAAAGGAATAGTTGCTGCGATATACGTAGCCATCCTCAAACTGACCAGGGAGCCCAGGATGTTAAACATCAACGATCCAAAAACAAAGAAAACATGAAATAAAGTCCCGGATAGTCCTCTTACGCTGGGATGCGTTATTTCGCCCAAATACATCGGCAACGCTGTAAATATCAAACCATCAGCCACCCCAGCGAAAAATCTGCACGCGTATATGACCGCAAGCGATTTAATTTGCGCCATCAAAATCCAGCCGATAAAAAATATAGGGGCCGATGATAATATGCACAGCTTCCTTCCGATTCTGTCGACGATGAACGCTGCCAACGGGGCCCCAACAACGTTTCCATATTCTTGGAACGTCGATATAATCGCTCCTTGTTCGTTGGTTATCTTTATTGGAGAATCGGGGGATAAAAGTATTGGTAGGGCTGGTGAGGGCCAGCCGTAGTGCATTCCTGTCGATACAATACACAGACATCCTAAAAATACATTTTATATTAAACAAAGAAACGAAAAATTTATGGTAAATGGTAGGTACCTGTAAAAGTGGCCAAGTATTGATACAAATACTTGTTCTTCATTATTATTTTGAAGACCATTTTTAACGTGTGGGCAAGTAATATTTATTTTCATTTCTAGTTTGACTATGGATTATAAATTATTTACATTTTTATGTCATACAATATTCATAATTAGGTAAACACGTATAACTTTTGAATACATTTCCATGATAATTATAATTGGGCAACCACTTTGGATATTCTAGATTAACATAGAACGGACTATTACGAACATAAATTGAAAAAAACTCTCAAAAAGGCAAACTTGGTACAACAAGTCTTTTTTATTAATTTTGATGTTAGTTTCAGGTTCCTAAACACCAAAATTTTAAAAATTAATGAAAAGAAATATTTTTTTTATTTATTGTTATGCCTATAAATAAAAATTGTTTCTTTTTGGGTTGAAACCCCCCCATTAAAAGTTTCAGCATTTTTTACTTTCTTTTCTTCACTCTAAGTATTTTATTTATGTAAATCTAACGTAATTTTGACAAAAACCATTGTCAATGATATTAAGTAAACTACTTTTTGACGTCAAATTGATAGGTGCCTGTTTAAGAAGTAGGTACCAGTATAAACTTAAAAATTTTAAATGGATACCTATTTATATTTTTAAAATTAGTTTAACGGTTGATAAGTAGTTGAGCATTTGAATTTTTCAAACTTTTCCTTAATATTATAGGAAATATTCTTAATCAGGTAATTTTTATTTATTTATTTATTTATTAAAATAAGCAGATATTTTTAATTGAATGTGAAACTTTTAATTCAGATTGAAAGTTTGGACACCCTGGTAGTCCAAACTAATTCTGTCGTTAGATGGCTTTCTTTTCTTAACTCTGAAGTATTTTATTTATGTCAATCTAACGTAATTTTGACAAAAACCATTGTCAATGATATTAAGTATACTACTTTTTGACGTCAAATTGATAGGTGCCTGTTTAAGAAGTAGGTACCAGTATAAACTTAAAAATTTTAAATGGATGATATATATATTTTTAAAATTAGTTTAACGGTTGCTAAGTGGTTGAGCATTTAAATTTTTCAAACTTTTCCTTAATATAGGAAACATTTTTAATTGGTAATTTTTATTTATTTATTTATTTACTAAAATAAGCAGTGTAATAGGGTAAAAATCTGAAGTTTCACTAAATTTCAAAGAAATGGTTGTTTTGAAGAATTAAGAAATTTAATACTTAGAAGGATTTTTAAGAGAGCCAGATGTCACTTGGGGGGGCCTAGGAGCATGTTTTGGAAGTAATAAATAAATAGATAGAAAGTTTCTTTGTCCCCGAAACGCGCACTAAAAAGTAGCCAGATGATGTTTTTCTTGGAAAAAGCCTTAACGCTCAATTGAAAACGCTTCCCTTTGTTTAAATCGATCGTTGGAAAATTAAATAATAGAGAAAGTAGTTAAAAGAATAATAACAAATTTATTTAGTTAATAATCATTTAGATTAAAGAATTAGGACTAAGATAAGGATATAACCAGCCGTATAGTAGTTTTACCGATAGGTTTTAAGAATTTAATGTAACCCGAGAAAATTGTCTAATTGTATAACTTAGGTTGAAGTAAAAGGGTAGTTAGTAATTGCAGACATAGGATATTTTAATGTTTTGGACTTTGTTAACAGATTTAAATTTTTATAGAAAATAAGTAACTTTGTAGTTAGGCAACCCCGAATTCACCCTAAAGTCAGCGTTAAGTAGGGGTAGAAATTTCTCACTGCACGCCTCTGATTGGCCAGAAACTTCAACCCTGAGGCAAGTCACGCCCTCGACTTAAGAAAGTCTTTAAATACTCTGTACCACAGGGTTTGACAGATTTTATCTTGCAAGATTTCGCGCGCGTCGTTTCCGAGTTCGAAGGTCGAAGTTCTAGCCAGTCAGTGTAATTAATAAAGTCAGGTATATTGTTAAGTTTATTGTAAAGTTGCTTATACAGGTGCTCGCAGTTACGTTCACCTTAAGTGACCGGTTTAGTTTAAAATTTGTAGTTTAAAGTATTAGTTTTATAAGATTCATTTAGGTTACCTTTTTCTAAAGTTAATTTAGTTTTCGCTTATCAGTTTAATTCAAAAGTTAGTTTTTTAATCTTAATTTCTCCGTAAATTCTTTGTTAATTTTCTTTACCGTTAAATTATTAATTTTTCTTATTTCCTTTGTTAATTTTTATTCTTCTTCTTAATTGTAAATATATTGTTTGTGGTTAGAATCGGCTGTGTTTCTTTGGGTACCTGTTAATTCTAATTACCCAGTGCTTGGCAAGCGTAAGTATATCGGGATTCGCGAAGTGTTCCGGGAGATCCGTCGCGAGTGACTTAGTGTGGTAATTCGTGCTTATTGGGATTACCAAATCATCGGCAACCGTCGCTGGATTAAAGGTCAGATTAGTGGTAACATCCTTGTAACGGACTGATAGTAGTCTATATCAGCCCCGCTCCCCGCGTTAATTAACCCAAAAAACCACCCGTTACAACTGGTGTCAGGTGTGTCTCATAATTTTTCAGAACTAATTTCTCTTGCATTAAATATTTGATTGTATATAGGTGTATATGGAATTAAATATTAATATAAGTTTTTATTACATGTAATCGTATTATCAAAATACCTTAAATAGACACAACTGGTTTCAGGTGTACCCCCGTAAAGCGCATTTATTTTGTGAAATAGCTATACACTTATATTGATTTGTAAATGTTAAGTTTTATAGCGATTGAAAAAGTACCTAAAAGTTAAAAGTTGTAAAAAGTCGAAATCTCTAGTAAATAAAGCGCGCGCAAGGTAATTTAGGGGCTGTTAGGACGCGTGCGGATAAAAGCTAGGTAGATCTCCGGCAATAAACTAATCACTCAATGGTTATTGTCGTTATTAATAGCAAAGGGCAATTACTCAAAATTTTTTAAGAAATTAAATAATTTTCTGTAATTGTTTTCATTGTTTTTGAGTGTTAGGGTATGTGTAAAGGTGCTATTGTAAAGACAAATGGGAACAATGCATCTTTATTACATTTAAGAAATTAGGAGACAGACAAGTAATTTTAATTTGATTTAAGGCACAATAGCTAACAGGAAGCGGTAAAACATTGCATATATAGATGTATAACCTTGAAAAATTTATATGTTTCAGGAATTAATCGATTTTACACCGTTAATTAAATTTTGTGACAGGTGGAATTAAGAGTTAATTATACAAAATTTTTATTAACGTATTTTGTATTAGTGTGTCTGTCTCCCCAAATAATTAGTTATAATAATTAATATTCCGTTGCGAAGCAATTAAATAATTACGAGTCATATTGGTAAACTATCTCTTTGTTAATTCCTCCAAAAAGTTACTTGCAATTTAAAGAGTCTATAAAAACAATAAATGCAGTTAAGATAGACAGTTTAAGGATTAAGATCGCAGCAGTTTAGAGTTTAAAAGGTATAAAGAGTAGACAATAGTACAAAAGCGCAGAAAGTAAACTCGATCTAATTACGTGTGCTTCGTTAATTAGATATAAGGTCGTCTCGATTTCCACAGCAAAAAGTCGTACACAGCCAGGAACTCTGTGACGCAGGAGACCCACAGAGGACCACATAGCCAGACATATTATTTCCTGTGCCAATAAAGTTGTTTTTATTCGTCAACTCATCGTCCCCATAACCGCGAAGTGATAGGTTTGATTTATTTCCATAGCTTTTCGGGTTACAGTTGTCAGTTAGTGATTTGTTAAAATGACAAATCAAACCACAGTATTACCTAATGGAACACTCCAAAATAATTTAGAAGAAACAATAAGCACAAATAAGCTGTCCGACTTATTTCAAAAAATAACATTGGGCACAACTCTCAATTTAATAGACGATTATAAGGGAGGACCTGATTATGACCTCTTTATCAATAGAATCCAAGCAATAGGGCGGAAAAATCAATGGACGGAACAAGACATGATGGAAGCTATGGAACATAAACTCAAGGACATGGCGAAAACGTATTATTTTGCGCTAAGGGACGATGACAAACCAGGTTCGATAGAAGAAATGCGAACATGGTTAAAAAGGGTATTTGGAAAAAGAAAAAATTTCCAACAAGCCAAGTTAGAATTAGCAGCGTGTAAAAGAAAACAGGAAGAAACGTTAGGGGCCTTTGCAGAAAGAATTAAAATGGCCGCTAACAACATCTTTTCGGTAGAGGAACAAACACCGGAGAAAAAAAATTTACAAGAATGCATTGATTGCAGAACAGTTTATAAACGGGCTAGACACGCGTCTAGCTAACGAAATTTTGTCCGTAGGTGTTTTTCTTAATTTAAAAGAAGCTCTTGAAGTAGCTGAGAAAAAAGAGAATATTGTAGACAGGTTAAGGGTAAATCCGCCGCAGGATTTAGATGTTGTAGCTACAATAAGAGCTTTGTTGTCGGAGAAGGAACAGCTCACAGGAGATGATATAGAACCAAAGAATCTACCTAATGACAGACACCGGGGGGAAATTCTAAAACACAGCGAAGGCCGCCGAAAGGATGGTAACGAAGACAACCACGATGATAAAAATAACCGCGAACGAAGCCGGGAAAGAAGTAACCGTAATCGTAGCTACGACAGAAATCTTCGCGATCACAGCCGCGATAGAAAAAATCGTGATATTAAGGAAAATAACCGCGATAGAAGTTACGAAAGGAGTAATCGTAACTACGAATATGAAGAACGTAACCGGAGTTACGATCACGATAGCGATCGTAACCGCGGGTACGAAAGGAGTGATCGTGACAGCAAATATGACCACCGTAACCGGGGTTACGATTACGGAAGTAGCGATCGTGACCGCGGGTATGAAAGGCATAGCCGCGATTACAGTTACGAAAGACGTGACCGCAGCTACGGCAGGAGAGAGCGCAGAGATTATAGTCGCGAAAGAGAATTGCAGCGGGAAAATCGCAACGAGGCACGAAAAGTTAATTTTGAAGACAATGGCCCACGCGGAACTAACTACCGAAACGCACCGAGAAACCGCGATGAACGGCTACCGAAATTTAAATATATGTTTAACAGGTGCATAAAATGCGCCAAACCTGGACATTATAGCAGCTGCTGCAGGAGCGAAAAAATATTTTTTTGTTTCAACTGTGGCGACCGCAGCCATACCTACAGTAACTGTTTTTTAAACTGG